AGGCGATTTCCGAACGAGGCGATCGCCTATCGATTATCGTCTTGTTGTCACTGTTGTGTTTAGCGGCTGTAATTCGAGGCCACCGGAGAGCCGTTCCGACCGTTATCTACCCGTCCGCAGCGAACTCGCCACCCCTGAATTACTTTCCACAACACAAACAAGGCGTTTCTCCGCCTCCTCCTCCTGTTTTCATGTTCCTTGTTTTAGTTTCCGAACGACATGTGTTCGACCGGCTCGGTGCTAATTGCACCCGTCAGATCGAATACGACGAAACGCATCCGGGACATGCACTCGAGAGAGCCGAGTCGAAACGTTCGTCGGCGGCACACCGTATCCTCGGAATCAACCGCGGTTTAACCGGGATCAAGCGAGAGTGTTCCGCAGAACCGACGCTTTCGAAAAGTGATCCCTAGTTGGGGGATAAAACCCACCGTTCAAAATCTCGAACTCTAGGGGCTAAGTGGAACGGAATGCGGGACACGACAGTGCTTTGCAAAAACATGGGTCGCCGATCATGAGTCTGATGTCATCCGACCCTTTTGTCTTCAACGCAACAATTTCTCGAGGCTCCAATCGACGAGAGTGAGTAAAAAAAAAGAAAGCGAAAGTGTTTTGTTCGTCGGTGGTTTCACAGTTGGCAAAGCACGCTTACGTAGAGACAAAAGAAGCTGTTTTTTTTCCGTAGGAAAAAATCCGTTCAGGCACAAAGTACTCATCGAATCCTGTCGTCGTTCTCGATGGTGTCGCCGTCGTCGCGAAAAAAGCGACCACCTCCCAAAGCGACGCAAGCCGAAATTAAAAACCACAGTCGCAAAAAGTCAAGCGAACGAGAAGCGGGAAAAATGGTTGCGCGGAGTCGCTCTTCCGCGCACGGCCATCTCGTTTGTAGACACCGCGCTGCGCTTCAGTAATGCCGTTAGGAAATGCGCCATTTTTTTCCTCCGCTTTTCGCCACAGCATTAACAGTTGTTCGGTGGTGATGGCGGAAAGCCAACACAGAACTACACCGCGATCAGCCGAAAGTCAAGCAATCGAACAACCGCAACGGAATTCTTGCAAAACCTCTGACCGCTATCTAAGACCACTCGGGTCGATTCTTCGGGGACTGTTGGTTGAGGTAAGACCACCTTATCGACGAATTTGGTATCTTCGAAAAGAGCTCAAGCATCTTAAGGCTTGAGCAAGTGAAACAAAACAATTCCCGCTCATTGTTCCCTATTTTCGAAAACAGAACTCCGCTATTTCCCAATTGAATGTTGTTCGGAATCCATCGGCACGCCGCGTCGGATCGACGCCGAGTGAGGTCTGTCTTATCGCTAATTGGTATCCTTCGGGCGAAGCGACAGAGCGCCGATGTAGACAGTTGTCCCTTTCATCTTGAAAGCTCCGCATCAAGTCCATGACGGGAATTCTGGTTGTCCTTGTCCAGATCGGTACGGTATCGGAGAGCTCATTCGTCTTCGGCCAAAAGCTTTCCCGCAGCTCGCCCGCCAACCTGCATGTGCGCCTGTCTGCCTTCTTGTTTGCATGTCAGACTGACTGACTGGCCGGCCGGTCGGTCGGGCGACTGTTTAGTCTGTGAGTGGAACCACAAGTAATGGCAAACGCCCAGTTGTGATCCGCAGCATAACGACTCGACCGGTGACAGCCTGGTTCTGTCCGGTTCAGAAAGGGCCCCGCGACTTTCACCCATAACTGGTAGAGGAACGAAAGCACATCATGGGTATAGCACAACTGGTTACTTCGGCATTCAAGGCTACATCTGCCAGAAAGGAGAAAAATATTCCAGCTTCCCTGTCCTGTTCTCAACATCGCTTCGGTTCGCCACAAGCGGAGCTGAATTTACTCTGGGGGCATTCGTCATGTAGGCCGTAACAAGGGATCGTAGAACGAATTCGAGTGCTAATTCGAATTCGATTCAGAGGCTTAGCGGCGGCGGTTCGGAGGTCCTGGAGGAGGGGACGTCAGCGGGCTGTACGAGTCCTATTAGTCCCCACGTATACTCCCCAGCCTCTGCCCCCGCGGGTCTATCACGTGTACGGAGCCCGGAATCGTTGCACGGCAATGAAGTGTTCATCGGCAGAGGTGAGAACACTCGTCAGGTGGATCGCTCCCTATTTGGAAGTTCGAAACGCTGAATCGGCGCGGAAATCAGTTTCGAGTGAGCGATCCGCGCGCGCGCTCACCAATCCCTGCTTTAACACTCGAGTGATCTCGACTCCACGTAACGATGGTCAGACGCACGATGGTCGAAGAACCTTGCCCGGCCATCCCAATCGCTCAGATGGTTCTCAATCTCACTGACGCATCCCGCGGTTTGCCGCTTGAGCTCGAATAAAAAATATGACGCCTTGACTTCCGGACCGTCATCCGGCGACCGTCCGTCGGCTCGATGCCCGTCGTGTTCCGCGCGACCGACGTCTCGTTCGGTAGACGTGACATTGTACCGAGGATTCAACCGATGACGACGTCAGTAGGCGCTGTGACGGCTCCGGCTACGTTCGCCGGAAAAGTGAAAACTATTTCTCCAACCGACGGTGTATCTGTGCATTCGAGGGAACCCTCCCCGCTTCTAAATCAGCGATTGTGCATCGTCAGAATACAAGGACTTCTGACTGGGGAAGACGCTAATGCATTCGGCCATCGCAAGGTTCAAGTCCGGAGCGACTAATTGCACGCATACATTCTGCCTCATTTTCCAGGGTCCGAAAGAATTGTGGGAAATTCTTACGCAAAAAGACAGATTCTCTCCCAGAGCGTTAAAACACTATGCTGGCGGCATAGTCTGACCGTTGTCACCTCCCCGGATAGTGTTTTCGCAGAAACCACGTACACGACTGGGCGCCGTGAGTTTCTTCAGAAAATGTCATTCTGAAGCCGTCGTAAGGAACAAACGCCTGCCAGGGACTTTGTGGTTGCGTTAGAGCCAACAAAATAGCCCGGCCAGTGGGTCGTCGATCGAGAATGAAGTGTTCACAATAGTTCAATTTCAGACTAGCGTCATCGCGTCGTCAACTCCGAACGGGCTCGACGGATCTCGGAGAACACAACCGACCCAAGCGATGGACCGGACTGAACGAATGATAGCTCACGGGATCTGAAGGCCATCGCTGAAATTGATTCGAGGGAGCAGACTGCGGATACCAGGAATCGACGCCCAGCCCTCAATCGATGTGTGCTTTTTGATTTGAGGCCCGAAATCGACCGACGACGCTCGGCGGAAAAGGACTGTCCGCCGAAGAACGGACAGAATCCGGATGCTCATTCGAATCACAGGAACAAGAAACCCCCGTATTATTTCCGATCGTTCCGCCGGTGATTCGGAGCCGTAGCACGATCTGTTAGGTTCCCGATGAGCGAATTGTGGATAGAAAAATTCGACGCTCCACCGAGTGAATCATCGTCTAATCTGACAAACCAGAAATATCAAAACAAACACTGTGCAGCCGAAACCCATGCCCTACTCGGTCTGCGGAGATGCCTCGGAAGTGAGCCATAGGGAGCTGATCGCTTCAGAGAGCGCAAACAATGAGCTCGTTACACCTGCACACTCAGGGATGGCTATCCGCTGTACGAAAACTAACCGAAGCAGAAGCATCCACCGACAGCACCAACAGCTCGCTGACGGGAGCCGAATCGAGAGACTCGATACCATCACGGACCCGACAGAATCGGCTTCGAGAGAGACACGCGGTGTCGAAGTAACATAAGATTGTGTCTTGTCGCTCGAGAAATCGATCCGGTCCCGAGGGCGACCGCAGCTTACAGAAGGGCAAATGCGGTTTCACGAGAATAGATAGCTCAGGGGTTTTCACAAAGCGTCGTACGTTTTTCCGCGTGTCTTCGATCGATGGAATGTTGTGTTCGACTGAAACTCGAGCATTCCCTCCATCGATATGACTCAGAAAGGCGACGCCTGAAGCGTTCTCAAGTGCTCGTTCCAACACTCGATTCCGAGCAGCGACACTCGAGAGCATCGCCGAGTGTCGCTTGAAAACGGAGATTCATTTCCAAGGCGGCAATCTGCGGAGCATTGACGGCTTGAAATTGCTTTTCCTGACTGTTTGAGATCGACTTGAGGACGACTGCCCAACGCTAGAAATATCCACTGTCGTCAGCGGTGTCTCGCACACTTATCACCTGCACTTTGTCCAGCGTAGACGAGACGATCGAATTGACGTCCAGCCAATCCGGTTCGATACCCGACAATTCGAGAAGTTTTGCTTGGCAACGGTAGCTACCGCGATACAGAAGCGCCAACAATAAAATTAGTTCCGAAGTCACTTATGCATTCAGATATCCACTCGCTCGTTACTTCGCTCCTCAATCTTACGGGGGAACTTCTGAAAATCACTGCCAAACACTTCATCACCATAACTGTGTTTTCTTCACTCGCACCAGACGAGGCAGGCAACAATGTGACCAAGATGTGGTGTTCCGAATGCAAATCACTTTCTCTGCCTGACAAGGCCGATGGTTCCGAAGAGATGGAAAACTATGAGAAATACTTTCAATGGAACTTTCCTTTCACCACAAAAGCAACATCTGCAATGACAACCACAACAATCAGTGTCTGGCTGACAGATTGAGAGAACGAATGAGTGGAAACCAAAGCGATAGTTGTCGAGATCTCCTAATAGATGTTCATCAGGCGAATCTCGGAGCTATCTTTCGCGGGTTGTCCGGGAACAATCTCAAACTTTTCGCTTCGATCATCGATTCCATAATTCGATCACCTCTCATCATCATTACACGTAGAGAGGATTCGCCGCGCAACTCCAGCGCGTACTGTCGAAGACCGACACCATGCCGCAGTTACCCGCCATCCACATGATGTGCTCAACCGTTGGAATACTGTCCTGCAAGTCGAAAACCACGAACTCGTTCCCGACGGAACGCGCGCAAAATACAAAATACACCCTCACACCGTCTTCAGAGCTTCGTCAACAAAGCAACTCTCAGAACTACAATCGCTCCGAAGAGGGCTTCCTTCAACAAACCTCTTGTTTGGTAGTCCTGAAGAGAATCCGACGTGTATATCACTCAACGTAATCCGAACGTACAAGGAATCCACAGAGAATTCACGGAGCTGACGAATTAGGCACCACTCACACAGCAACGCTGCTCATTCCACAGTTGGATGGAACCGACTAAAGTCACCGCTGCGCCGTTGGTGAGCAGCCCTCGCTGCTGCTGCGAAGGAGTTTGGTGGATGCGATGGTGGCACCAGAGAGTGGTGCGAGGGTTTCCTTCTTTCAGCTGATCCCTGAGTCGGCGCCGAATTTTGAAATGCGAACAACTGTTCGTTATATTGTAACGAGTGCGGACAAGCCCCACTGTACGCTGTTTTCGTTGATTACAAGGCTGCTTTTGACCTGTCCTCGAGAAGAATTATTCTGAACAAACTGGCATCTGCCGGAGTCACGACGAAGATGCTGAGTCTGATAAATCAAATGCTGCAGAGAGGGACAGTTAGCATTGACGATGGAGTCGGAACACTGCCGCCCTTCCCGCAGACGACGGGCGTCGCCCAGGGCGACAATCTGAGTCCCTTATTGTTCTCCGTGCTCCTCAGTGACCTCCCTGGGACCATCGGGGCCGAGCACGACCTGGTCACGACGCTTCTGTACGCTGACGACGCGGTCCTGTACTCCAGATCGCGTCGGCAGCTTCAGAGATCGATGAGGACTCTGGACCTGTTCTCGAGGTCAAACGGCCTTACCGTGAATGTTTCCAAAACGAAGCTCATGAAGTTCGGCAGGGGGGGCTGTCCGGCATCGGGCGACATCTTCATGATATCTGGCGAGCAGATCGAAAAAGTCTTCGATTTCACGTACCTGGGTGTCCACATCAACAGATTCGGACTGTCCTTCGAAAAACATGTTACGAGGAGACTCGAGAAAGCACGACGTGCGTTCAGCTCCATCCCCAGACCCCGCGACCTCTCCCTTGATACCGCCATCTCGCTCTTCGACATAAAGATTGCCCCGATCGCTTCTTACGGAATACAACTCATCTGGGAACACTTGACTCAAACACAGCTCGAAAAATTCGATAAGCTGAAAGCGAGCTATCTGAAAGTCGCCCTTGGAGTTCATCGCTCATCCAGAAACCGGCTTGTTTACCTGCTCACGGAGACACCGCTGTTCTCGGAGACCCTACAGAAACAGTACCGTCTGCCAATAACGGCCGCCTACCAAACGCACCTCAATACCTGGCAGGAGAAGATGTCGGACATCAACGCAGATTTCCTGAACTGCCCCGCCATGACAAAAGACACGTGGAAGCAGCCTGGATTCAAAAACCGCCACCGATGGACCCGAGGAGCAGTACATGGCTTTCACTACCAGATCTGCCATAGACCCAACGCTCACACGCCTGACGAAAACTGCCGCTGCAAGCTCTGTGGAGGGGAGTGCTCGGAATACCACTTCTACAGTTGCGAACGTCAAAGAGATCTCAAATTAATGGAATGACGAGTGATAAAATATGTACATATACTAAATCCTATACACCATTTAAATGGTAAATAAAAGCTTTATTTGATATTGTAACGAGTGGAATTTTTGCAGCGGGGACCCATTCACCGAGATCGACCTGAAATTGGTTCCTGGTCGCTGACGAGGCTCCCTGGGTTCTTCTCGCGGCAGATTCTTCCCGAATCCGCCATGGTCTGCCGTCGTCTGATCGCGTGGCTTAATCCGAGATCCGATTCTCGGAGAGCTGATCGAATTCGAGCCCCATACGCGATCCGTCAGCCGGGGATCCTTCCTTCGCATGGAGCTCACTGTCTCCAACGTTTCGCTTATGTGCGATCATTCCGATTGAAATTGACCGACGAGTCATAAAATCAGGTTCGAGTTGTCCGGTAGTTATCGACGCTCAAGTTCACGGTTCAGCTTCTTTCTATCATTCGTTTACGATGGCGATTGCTCCGCTAAAAGAGGAAAAAAGACCGGTGTTCCAGATGATTTCAGTGTCCAGTCATCGGCGGCCGTGTTGAGGCCCAGCTCCAGCATGCGCTTCCAGTATTGTTCGTGGCTTCTGGTAGTCTTCCCTCAGCTCAGTGTCGCAGATGATAAACTTCTCCAGTACAAGACTCACTACGCCGACGAAGTGCGATCTCTCAGACGCTTTTATTGTCGTTCAGATGGTGAGTTACAGTCTGCGTCTCTGACGCCGGTCCGATCTTGACAGACTCTTGCGAGACCCGATTTGACAGAATCGCGGAACCGTTCGGGAATTCCTCATCGGCTCCGACCCTGTATCACAGGATCGATCCCGACTGAAACCCTCCGGATGATTCCATGTCAGAATCAGCGTTTTTCCGAGGTGGAGAGACTCATCATTTCGAACAACGCCGATCCGAGGTCTAAAATTGCCTTGAGGTTCTACCCCGAGAGCCTCTACAGTCGAGAAGAATTCGCTCGTCGTCGGCTCGGGTTCATCCCGCAGAACTTGAAACCCAACAAGCTCGTCATACCGAAGAAACCCTCGAAAAGAAGCGCCGACCAATACCTGAATTACGCGGATCTCGGTTACGTCACTCCTGTGAAGGTATATGTTCGGTGTGCCTTTCCCTGATTTGCCAGTTGAAGAGCTATGTTTCGGAGCTCAAGGTAAAGATAAAGAAACCCCCAGAGCTCCGTATGTCATGAACTCCACAAGATCGTACTCGACCCAATACCAACAGGATCAGGGCGATTGCGGAGCCTGCTACAGCTTCTCGGCCATGGCTGTCTTGGAGTCCGCGATTTTAAGACACTACGGGGCGAAGAAAGATTTCTCGGTGCAACAGGGACTGGATTGTACGTTCCATCGCTACGACCTCATGAACTACGGCTGTCAAGGGGGTCATCCATTCTACGTACTCTTGCACGCGACTAGATACGAGATCGTCAATGAGACCCAATACGGATACAGGAACCGTTTGGGGACGTGTCAAATGTGAGTTGCAGGAGTCATCATTCCTGTCTCTGATTCTGAATGCGTTTTCTGGCTCAACACTGAATCTCCACGCGGTGTTCGACATTCATCGAACTTACTGCTTTCGCTCGTTCTGATCGAGGAGCATAGCAATGTTTGATCCCCCTCGATTCACTTGGCACATCGTGATAATCACATGCATGATGTCACACTGTGTGGTACGACAGAGACGTGGATCGGTCAATTCGCCCAAAATCTCGGATGGATAACCTAGATACCCACGCGGTCCTTGTTCTACCGCCACGGATTATTCTCCTGGAGATGTCTGGATCGAGAATTCCGAACGCTTGCATGCGTCGTTCGATGTATCTGCTTTGAGTTGACTGACTTACTAACGGACTAACTGTCTCACCGAACGGCTGGCCGATCGACCGACAAGCGGAGGGAATGCGCCGCTGCAAAAATCGCGACCACGGAATACGAGCCGGTTATTCGGTCTAGACACACGCAACCTATGTCGAGCAAATATTTATGGTTCCAGAAGCGAAAAAAAGCAAATACTGGATCTGACCGCTGCCGTCGTGTCGCTCGATAATTCCGACGAAGCACTGAAGCAAGTTCTGCGGGAGCTCGGACCCGTTTCCGTGGCGGTTGCCGTCGGGGAGTCGTAAGTTGACTTTTCTCGAAATACCGTCGATTCAAGCGGACTCGCTGACCCGCTCGCTTTCCGATCCAAAATTCTACTCGCAGGTCCTTTAAACACTATGCGGGGGGCATCATCACCGAATGTGGCAACGAACTGGATCACGCCGTACTTCTTGTCGGTTACAAAGATACGTCGGAAGAATCGTATTGGATCATCAAAAATTCTTGGGGTTCGAAATGGGGAGAAGGGGGTTTCGCGAGAATCAAAATGGGATCATCATGCAACATCGCGCTTGACAATCCTATAGGCGTTCTAGTTAATGCCTACTGACAGCGTGTCTGAAAGGTGTTCCAGCCGGTATTACCGAGAAATCACTGAAATAATTCCGCCTGATTCGGCCGTAGTTGAGTTTTCGCTCAAGCCGTTGACTACATTATAGAGAGACCAATAATTCAAAGCTCGAATCAGCTCGTAATTTCGTTTTTTTTATCGAGGGAAAAGGGTGACCACTCAAGCAGGCAGAAAGCCGAGGATTGACCGCGAGCCGATGTCCAAACATCAGACTGTGAGCTAGAGGGCAACAAACGGCCACAGCTGCAGTCGGCGATCGATTTGTTGCATCATCGCGGTCGTCCCCGCGGTTGCCATTTGCGTAAAACCGGACTGCCGCTTGAAGCCTACGGCTAAAAGTGACGATGCAAAGTCCTAAAAACCAATGTCCCAATATAATTTGATACAGAGGCGACGACACGATCGGCGTCCATATCGAGCAACATTATTATCAAATGCCCCAGATAGATATCAGTGGCTGTGCCATTGCTCTAGCAGCTTATCCTTCCGGAGCTCGGAAATGACGATAACTCCGATCGATCTGATCTGTCCCGCCAAAGTTCTCTTGTGAGATTAGTAAGTTGCAGGAATCATCTTCCCAAAAAGCCACAGGGCGAATGCTCGAAACAATTCGCTCATTTACTCCTAGAATACGGTTGAAGAAAATCCTGGTTTGAGAGTGGAAAACCCGCAGGAGTCCGGGGGCTGCTTGTAAATTCATCCTCTCCCATGCATGTGAATGGACGAAAGAGGGATATTGCATATTGCCCATATGAGGATGCCGATCCTCACTAGCCTCTGATGATGTTCGGTAAACTGCTCCGGAACTTTGAAAAATTTCGCTGCCTCATGTGAGCCTGCTGGTTGAATGAGCTCGCAAGAAAATCCTCAGCTATTGGATCCGAACCCGAGTGAGACTTATGCATTGATGTCTAAGTCTGACGGGAATCATGGATCTAGGCCAAACAAGACGTCGGACCTGTGCTGGGATGTGTTGTACCACACGGAATCCGGGAATAGCTCTTGTGTTGCAAGATGCCGATAATAGAGAGACGTGTCGATTTTCGCACGCGGGCAATCCATTCCGCCGAGAGAGAATTGGGATCGAGTGTGTCCCGGCTGCTCCAGCGAATCCACTCTCAAGTTCAAGAGTATCAACGATACGAATATACATAACATTCAGATCAATCGATCCATCAGGAATGGCCGAACTGGGAACGGTCAGTTCCATCACCCAACGAATCCAAATCAAAAATTCATTCTCGTCCGCGAGTCGGAAATCCATACAAATTGGGATGCGACCATCCATCGAAGTTTCCGACCGACTCCTACATTGACAGGGGAAGCCCTTTCAAAAACGACGGCTTTGATCACAAGCGCAAATACTGCCTCCCTCTCTCTCCCCCTCTTCCTTTCTTTTCCACCCGTTCTCTTCCGATGATTCCTGACTCTCCGTTCGCCCGTTCTACATTTCGGTGGACAATGTTTAAACATCGAATTTGACAAAGGAGATTTGGAAAAATAAGCGGCTTTCCCTTGGGTGGAGCGATTCTGCGAACTGTGAAATCGGATCACACCCGAGCTGAATGTGGTGGCGGTTTCGGTGGTGCTGTCGACAACGCCGCCGTCGGAAGAGACAAAATAGATCTCATTTCCCTGCGCAGCGAATTCATTTCTCAGCAAATACCAGGGATTCTACCCTTCCTCGTCGGAACGCCGCGCTAGTCGGACAAGGGAGTCGCGGGTCCTACATCAGATTGTATTCGGTCTACGGCACAACGGAAGACGGAATTACGGCTTTTTCCCCCACGAAAAATGATTTTTCTCCAGTTCCGCGCTTCGATTACCTCACCTCCTACCCTGAAGTCTTGCTCCGTATTCCGAGCAGTGAAGCCGAGACAATTTCTTCTTTTCCACTTCGCTCAATTTCTAGGATCGCGCTCCGATCTTCCGTGTATACGAATCCTCGTACATCTTCGAATCTTATCGAGAGGATCCTGTCTTCTGTGCTTGCAAATATTCATAAGATGTTCACGCCCGATATGAGGATGGATGGGGCATACTTAAGCGGTATACTCGTCGTCCCTTCGTGATTTTTTTCCCGCCACACCATCACGAGTTTCCGTGACTGTCGGTGACACAGAGTCTTGTGAAACCAAAACTCCTTCGCTCTCCTACTCCGTATCTGACGACCTGTCCGGGCGAACGTTGATTCCCACTTTCATTGAATGGAAAGCGAAACAAAACAACAAAATTAAGAGAGGCATCCGACAGGATTCTGCGGTTCGGTGGCTCCGGCCCCTGATGACGACCGACGTACGGCACTTCCGATCGGGCCGGTGCCCTGTTCCGCTAATCGTTGTTATCGGAAATATATCTCGTAACGCCATTTGGCAATTTTCTCCGTCGCCGTTGCCTCCAAGACTGCCGGCTGCAAGATATGAGCTAACGGATGATGAACCGAGCGATGAAATATCGATGACTCGCCGGATACCGCGATACCGTGGCGATGCCGCGAGGCGAAGCCTCGTCGTCTGGACAGAATTTCCGTCGAAGGGATAGTGCTACGCCGAGGGGCTGTCACCGAGGATTTTCTCGTTTAGGATCTCACGCGGACGCTTTTTTCCGTCGGACGTACATGGACCGACGGGGAATATCTTGCTGCATAGGAAAACATTGAATATCATCGCAGACTGAAGTGAGGAATATGTCACAGGCAATTCCCCACGAGCAGATGCTCGCTTGCAACACCGAGAAAAAGCACCACCAAACGAAGGCGTGACTCTTTTTACCGCGAAAGAAGTGGAATCAGACGTCAAACCTGCTCGCAAACACTGCAGCCAGCAGTTTATCGTCCAACTTCCACGTGGGAATAGACAGATACAGAAAAGAAAGCAAAAATGAACACACAAACAATGAGAGAGCTCCGGAGTTCAGAAGTATTTCAGGCCAAACAGAAGTCAAATCATCAGCAACAGCGGTAACAAAGCGAGGTCCAGTTCAGCGCCTCGGGACGACTGCGAAATCCAGTGGGCGACCGGTTCCAAAAGTGACTGACTGGTCGTTCTATTGAATGACTGTTCGTTCAATGGGTGGACTGATTGAGTGACTCAGTAGGTTCTGAGCAGAAGGATCGGGCGTTTGATTTGACAGGTCGCCCGGCAGTGCTTTCTCAGACCGTAAGTTGTCGATGCGAAGGAACCCTACTCGGTACATCTTTTTCACGAACTCGATTCCGATTGCAGAAAGAATCCACTTAACTGTCGATCGGATTGGCAATCTGACTGAAGCGGTCAGAAACGAGCGGATTGCATCGAATAAAACGATGAGACAGCATGCAAGAATACCTGGAAGGTCGCTGATCCGCTCGTATGTGCATATCATTCATCCGCGCTGCCCGGAAGCGTTGGGTGATTCATCTCTATTATCAAGGATGTTACTGATGATGCGGAACAGAGCTATTGATAACATATGCTATGCGGCGCGCATGGGCGTCACATCAAGGTTGACCCTACAATCCTCATAATTTCTTGCCGTTCAGTCGGATACTGAGATCTGGCGATGTCGCAGATTGGCAGTTTTATTCGGGGGAAATCACACGTGCTAGAAAGTCCGACGCTTTCTGAGGCATCATCAGCGATACAATAAGGTCGTTCCTAAACGAGAAATTTACTCAATTACTCAAATGCCCCATATTTTCCGCGAATGAGATACCTATTCAATGATACCGCGTATGATTCGATCCGAACGAGCTGTTTCTGTTCATGATGGTGCGGCGGACACAGCCACAAGCGATGGCGCTGGGCCATGTTCCTGGTGGATGTTCCTGGTGTGCTCTTCTCCCGTGCGTCGCTGAGCCGATGGTAATTATCAGATGGAAGCTTTATGTGCTGATAATTCTGTCGAGCGGAGCTTCCGTGGCATCGATGTCTTGCCGAAATGACATCGGTGAATCAACGGAAGTGCGGAAGAAAAAACGCCGCACAAACTACTGACTGCGATACTCGCCTCCAGGAACGGAATTACTCCAAGAACAATCACGATCGGAGCAGTTCCGTCGTTAACTATCTGAGCCAAGCTCCGATGATTTCATCTTTCACAGAACTTCGAAGACCAACTAATGGAAAATCTTTTCGCAGCTTTGACAATCGAGTTCTTCGCTCGTCACTCCCGAAAGCTAGTAATTTTCGCGTTGACTCCGATCATGCATGTTTTCGGCATTCGAAGTTTGATAAGTTGGCCATGTCTCTTTTGTTCGGATCACCTCATAGGCAGATATGGAGCCACTTGCTCGAGCAAAGCTCCAGCAGGCCTCGAATAATCACGACAACATCCCTGCACGATATGAGTTTCCTGATCTGCGCTGTATCAGCGCTCGAGCTCGATTCGAATCCGGAACGACCACCTGAGACTCCCGGGAACGGAACTGAAGGCTATGCTCGAGGAGGATATGGCTTGTCAATCCTGAGGAGTCTGGTTAGGTCATTTCCACATGCAAGAAGATTCTCGAGAAGACGGCGCGTCTGGCGGACGAGGAGCTCGTGCCGCGCGAGAACGGCGGAGATGGCGTACCATCGGTGTTTTTTCCGCAGCTCGTTAGACCTCGATGAGACGCTTTGAGTGCATTGCAGGGTTTCCTTGGAGAAGTCTTGCTTGGGTCGAGCCTCTCTGCGCTCCCAGCCGAATCAGCTGTCAGCTGTATCACCTAGATCAGCTGTTTGTACTTCTCGCGGGAAGAACTCAACAACGAGTTTCGGAGCACCCTTCAGAAAGCCGGTCGCGTCTCGATATAGGCGGAATCGCGGAAGGTGAGTATCCCACTCGAGCCATTCCGTCGCCGGAGCGGAGCCCTAAAATTCACAGGATATTATGTGGCATAGAATGATCGGATTCGTTTGGGAAATCCAAAAGGCTCGACTGATTGCCGCACCAGTGTGCTCCGTTGGGTTTGCTGCGAGGATGGTCGTGGCTTCTTTGACTCCTCCTTCGTTTGTCAGAGTCGTCGAAATGATTGGACCCTACTTGGAACGGCTGAATCGCCTTCGTATTATCCTTGCGAGTGCTTCAGCCAGGAGGAAGGAAATTCTCGAACAGATCGGACTCAAGTTCGACGTCGTCCCATCCGCCTTCGAAGAAAATCTTGACAAGAGTTCTTTCAAGGAACCACAGGATTATGCGCTAAGGAACAGCGAGCTGAAAGCTAAACAGGTGAGTTCAGAGGATCGAGACTCGGGCCTCGTCGAAGGCTCCCTCCGGCACCACGAGGCAGGTAGAATGAGTGCCCTGAATATACCCGTAGACCATTCGGATGAATTGAGGAAGGAGAGAGTCTGCTCAGGCCTCCGTGGCTCCCTGACTGGTAGTGTTCCAGGCGAAATCTATGGAAATCTACACTCTGATTCGCATCTTCACGCTCGGCAGCGGGGGATGCCCCTAATATCCAAGCTCCCCGCATGGAATCATCGTCAGCTCTACCCACCCCTCCTTCCCAGATCAGTGATTCCGGCCTTGGCATAAGAAACTCCAGGGAAGGCTCAATCTTTGCAGGTGGCCGAATCTGTTGATGCATTCGATCTCATCATCGCTTGTGATACGATTGTGACTTGTCGAGGAAGCATATACGAAAAACCGAAAGATCCGTCCGTAGCTATACAAATGTTGAAAGGTACCTCGGTAGCGCTCAATGGGAACAGGCTCATAGTAGGTAGCTGAGTAAGGCATCAAGTGCCCTCTAACACAACCGTCCCGTAAACAAAGCAACACGGAGTGATTCCCCAGTGAATCGCGATTCTTTTCCAGATTTGAGCGGAAGCACGAGCGAGGTCCACAGCGGACTGACGTTCGTGACTGTCGATTCCAATGGCTCGAGGAATTTCACGTCGTTCACGGAAAGCACAACTGTGGAATTCTGCGAACTATCAGAAGAAGTGATCACAACTTACGTGCGCACCGGGGAACCGCTTGATAAAGGTCTCATTCAGCCAGCTGATCTCAGAATGAGCTCCTCCGAACGATCAAGAGCTTTCTTCAGAGGTTGACGATCCCCCTCCCATGGGCGCTGTGGATCGTTCACTCACAGAATCATGTTTTTTTTGCAGCCGGAGCATACGGCATACAAGGACACGCAGCATGTCTGGTGAAGAGCATAAACGGAGACTTCTATAATGTTGTCGGATTCCCCTTGAATCATTTTTGCCGTCAGCTATCCGATGTTATACAGCAGGGCAAAATGAAACTCTGAGCTTTCAATTACGACATGCCGCTCGTTCTTCCCCGTCAATGAAAACAGATGCATACTTTGAAGCTATCTTAATCTGTCCGGGAAGAATTGTGCCGATCGACCGGGTCCGAGACCGTAGATTGGAGGATCCGTGTTCAGTGCCGTGGAGGGACCCGAGAGAGAGAGAGAGAATCCGTAACATCAAGTCCAGCCTCGAGAATCTCTCAATAGGGCTTAATCTATTGTTTGATGGGGGTTGCCCGTGAGACGTTTCTTCCCCCAACGGAATCGACAATCTTCCTCTCCAGCTCCAGCGATGCGGTGGAACATCACTATCGTCGAGCATCTGGCTAAGATGGCCCCCTGGCGGGAGAGCTGGCGCAGAAAACCGGCTCCGAATCTCCGATTTGGCGCGAGTTCCATTCAGCGGGGAAAAAATGGAACGCGACAGGAAGAGCTGGGCGGAAAAACTAGGTTTGACTTATACAGGGAAACTTTCATTCATTAGGGCGTAATCGGGAGTACGCAAAAAGTGTTCTTTATACATATCTGTACAAACATGAGGATCCTGATCAGGCAATCCCGTTCCGTATCACATTCTGGCATCTCGATCTTCCTGAATCTGTGCGACTTTTGTGTTCCTACTATTGGAGCGTATTCCCAATATCGATTCCTGATGTTTTTGCGGTGGGTACCTTAGCAATCGTATCTTTGAGCATTCACGCACCCACGGATAGGAAGCATCATCTAGAAGGAGCATCGCCTCTTGAGAACATTCGAATCGTCGCGAAGATCATGATCTAAGAGCGGTTGAGCGTTTTCGATATCTTCCACACCCAGTTCACCTGTCGAAGAGGGAAATCTAATTGAAACCTATCTCTCGAGTCGCTACATAGAGGTACGGTTTTAAAACTTAACAAGTTCAGTTTATTCGAAGGTTCGAGTATAAAACGGATATAGGTAATCCTATTCAGGAACTGTAGATTGTTGCGTACTCTGATCATTGTCAGCGTCTTCGAACTTGTCTGGCAATGGTTTGCCGTACGTTTCCCTCAAAGGGATCACCAGAAACAGCGCCACAAGGCATGCCAACGAATTCAGAAGGCTTTCGTTAATGGTATCCTGCGGGAAAAAAAGTTCGTTTACTCTCCGAAAATGTCGCTGCGGCCGTCATCGAAGATCGATCAAGACGAAGAAAAAAATCAAGCGACTACTGCATAATCCTCGAACATGTACCTGATCGTGAGCGAATGGAGAGAGAATCGCTCCTAAGCGAGATATCGTCACACAAGATCCGAGTGCTATGCCCCTCACTCGCGTCGGGTAGATTTCATTCACATGAACTCCGAGGACTGAATAATCGACTTGGACACCCATCTTCGCGATTGTTGCCAACAGGAGCTGGTACAACGCGCCCACTGGAAAGAAAAACCTAGTCAGGAGGCGGCTGGACTAGGAACAAATCAGCCACAAACAAAACGGATAGGTAGTGAACCGAATCCGAAATAACTCACTGCCGGGATAGAGAAATGAAACCGCGCAACAGACAACAGCCGAAAAGTTGCACATGAAGTGTAAGGATCTCCGGTTAAAATGCTCAACGAGGAGGTAGACGAGAAGTAAGACCGGAGTTTCGAATAGGCCTGCCCAGAGTAGGTTCGCGAACAGGCCTCCCGTGTCCAAGGCCAAAATCAGGTAGAAAAGATTATAGTAAACCAATATGTTCAGGGGACTGAAAGGAAATTTCTCCTAAGACTCGATTCGGATTTGCATATACAATTCGGGGGCATCTCATGTCAGATATAGGTACGATACAGAGCGATTGATTGCTGCCGATACTAACTACTGCAGGTAGAGTGATATGGTCGTCAATGCTCTCCCCGGCGTTTTGAATAGATCAACCAGAGTAGTTTTCGGTTCACTCAGAGCTTTCTGATGTTCCTGGACGCATCTGCTAATGATATCGTCGACGTCATCAGGGGATCTCTGCATTCCGTTCCGTTCTAGAATTTTCCCCACGACGGTTTTGACACGTTCAATTTTGCGTGTGGCGACGAGCCATCGGGGTGATTCGTCGACGTACCTAGAAAGTATGCCAGAGATTAATCAAACACGCGAGACGATCAGGGTTTGAGGGGCAGCCGACAGAGAAAATAAGCGCTGGCCAAGCTCACCAGGCCATCATTAGCATTGGCACAGTTGACAGACTGATCGCGAATTGCAATTGCCGCCAGTCGTGGATGAAATACGGAAATATTGGGAGTACGATCATTCCGGCGACCCAACCAAAAGTGTCTCCGACCGCCAATAGGGCTCTGTTCTTGGGATTCGTCGATTCCATCCCTGAAATGAAATCGCTCGGTTAGTTATCGAGTGATTCCCGTCAAAATTAAGATTGCGAAAGTATGAGCGAATGATTTATTCACCCAAAGTGAAAGGTCCATTTTGATTCCCTCCCAGTCCGAGTGACATGATGATTCGTAGCGAGATCCAAACGGGGAAAGTCGGCGCAAAAGAACAAGCGATTCCGCCGCCGAGGATGCACAAATGAGACAGAAGGCAGATTGTTCTCCGACCGTACCTTGAAAGGAATCGAAGTACCTCATTTGAGAATCACCGAGTTCGAGAGATTCCGCAGTTCCTGATCGAATCGAATGAGACTATTCACAGCGCGGGAAATCGAGCTCACCAATCGGAGATGTGCGAGAAGATCAGATTCCCCATCATCATGCCGAACATGAGCGCACTTTGCGCCCATCTCCGGAGGTCTTTGCGATCACAAACAGCGTTGAACTGGAAAATTGCCCAACATCAGTTTCCATTCATTGAGATCCATTGCTGTGATCAACACAGCTCAATGGAGTCCCGGAATGTTGCTTTTGAGTGCCGCATTCTCTCTGGTCATGGCAATTATCGAGATTGCGAAGTCATAGGATCTTCGGATCCGCTGGGCAGGTCTTCTACGCCGGCGTTGCCATATTCGGAGCAGTGAGAGTCTTCCGGGGAAGCCTCACATTCCGATGGCGGTCGAGCTCAGGATTCGAGGCTTGCACCCATATATCAGGCTGGACTCTCGAAGTTCCGTGCGTACGCGGGCTTGGAGGTGTTCTTTCGGCGATTTCCAACTAACCTCTGAAGTGAGCGTGCTTTTAATCTGATACTCCCAAGCGGTGCAGGCATTTTCTCTGCCGTCTCCCGACAAATAGTGACACTGATCGGTGCCATTGTGGCGTCGAGCTCCGGAATCGTCTATACACCAATAATTTTGCTTCTCGGGCGCTATGTATTCTAGCGAACAAATGAAGAAGGCGGATGGGAGTCCTCTATAGAAAAGAAGCACTAACGGAAGACTCCATCGCCTCGTTCTCTTGAGGAGGTCGTCCATCGAATCATGGAGCTTTAGAAGGATGGATTGTCTTGGGATCTTCCTCTAAAACACGACCTGTAAAGGAAGAGTGTGTTCACTCATGAGGGTCTTATGTTGAATCCTCTGGTGCCGCGCGGACCCCGGCCCGGTGCAGCGGCTCACGGAAAATCGGAGCGGGATCCGTCTGGTTATTTAGTTTTCCCGTGGATCTATAAGGATCTATCCGTCCGATTTCATCGTGGTCAGAGTTTCGAACGGAGTGAGCTGCTGTGAGTTCGCTCATGTTCGATCTACATAGAGCTCACTTCGATACGTTGGAACTTGACCCGCGGTCGCGGTGCGCTGGGTTAGTTTCGATGGACTCGGTTCACATGGTGCTCCTTAGGGGCAAGTCTAGTCTTCATCGGCAACTGCATCACTTGATACACGAGCAACACACAGCTGACCCAGCGAAACTTGGATAGACGGCGCAAGGTCTTCGCGGCAAAAAGCCAACGAACGTGGTCCTTTCTCCTCGGAGTGAGAAAGGGTAGCGCTCACCCGTGTTGCTACTTCGAAACATTGCCGTTGCCGCTCATATTCGCGAGAACCATTTGAATCGTAAAGCCATTTCGCAAGCTTGTCATTGTGACCCGAGTTGACGAGTGCGCCTATTCAATGAGCCCCTGCGATGGGCATTCTCTTGATACTCTGAAGGAAGATCTGCTTAGAAAATAATCAGGTTGATCTCCGTGACATCGGGCTTATGCGTGAAGTGATAATAATCGGATGAACTAATCAAGTTGCAATCCGCTGTACCCTCCGGGAGCTCACTGATCGACCGAATAATTATTGCCCTTGCGATTTCCATCGTTCCCTTCACGAGAGATTCCAGCAGCGGAGACACGATTATCCAGCTCTATGGTAAACGACAAGATTAAGAGCCGATCTCATCCATTCGATCACCTTGAGCCGCGAGAGCTCGACTGTTCAAGCTCATAAACAGGTAATTCTCCCCTTCAGGCCGAGTTCAGTGCTTTTCGTAGAGGGCGAAAAATCATTTCATCTACCTGTATCCTACTTTACAGATTATTTCATCTGACTTCCAGCCCCCATCGGGCCCTCTGAAACAAACTCGCCTCTAAAAATGGCCCCGACTCCGGTTAGCTCCGCGCGATCTAATCCCGATGTACAGGGTAACTCACGCGATGAAACTTCAGCAATCAGTTCCTTGAAATCTGTGTGTTACTGTATCGAGACACTCATCATTTTCACGGCGGCTCTCATGACACCTGTTCCCTTCTCGACTGATATATGAGGTGGCTTGATTCACGTCGCACCAAACTCGTAGTCTGCGAGAAACTGTCCCGGCAAGCTACGTCCCGCGACTTGCTATCGGGGACGTAGCGACTGAGAAGTTACTCATGCTTCGGCGTGAGATTTCAGCCTGTCTCCCGGAGAAATTGTGAACGGACGTGAGACTGTCGTGAGGAACCTTATTCTCTCGCCTGTTCGCTCGAATCCCTCTGTAGCTCGAGAGTTTCTATTGTAAGTCTCGCCGTCAGCAGTGAAACATCATTTGCCATCTCACTTGCAGTCATTCCGTCGGACTCCGCGGACTCTAGGACACCATTACGGTAGGTAGACGGGGAAACGTATTCTGGAGAGGAATTTCTGGGGGACAGGAGCTCTGAATTCGGGTGTCCTGCGGTTCTCTCGACGTATATGCGGAACTCACTCCGTGATTACATTCTCCCTCATCGAAGGGAGGTCATGGAAGCTCTCTGTATAGGAAAAATGTCTGCAGATTAGCAAGGGGGCTTAGCGCTTGTTCCCCGAGCGGTCGGCGAATATCGAAATCTAGAATCATCACTCACACCGTCTTCGAAGATGTCGCACTCGGTGACTTCTGGAGTCGGTGGAGCTCAAGAGCATCAACGAACGAACTTATCTCTCTTGACACATTCCCGAGAGGAAAACAGATGGACCCGGCTGAATCATTGACCGCAGCAACAGAGAGTTTCTCGGACGCGAGATATTGTGTGGACTCACCAAGAGCGTAACTATTCCATTGTGGCAGATTCGAACCTTGACACGATTTTCTCGTTCTGTAGAAGTCTGACGTATCCTACCGGACATCGCGCCGGAATGCTCAAACTTTACTCAGAAAGCGGGGAACTGGATCTATGACCCGGAGAGAACCTATCGATTCCCTTGAAGCGAAACAGTCTACCATCTGCCTGCTCTCGAGGATCATGAGAGAGAAACATATTGTCCAGATCCAACGTTATGCTTTTTTCCCACCCTAGGGTCCACTGATGCATACACTGCCGGCACTGAAAATCGTCTCCCTCGGGATCATTCCACTCAGACACAATCCTTATCGGCTGCGATGATCCACCTATATGTCTCATTGTTCCCGCAATCTGCGCGCATTCCCGCATCATGGAGTCGAACAGAGGAGCTTTTCATCGGTTCGTTGTAGACCTGTGAACATAACCCATTTGCGGATGTGGCGCGCCGTCGCAGCTGAAAGTCCTTTCGCTCCTTTTCGAAACACGGAATCGGCCCAGCGGCTCCTTCGTTCCATCTGTTCGGAGTGTCGTGCTACAACCGATCTGGATGATTATCAACTGAAACCGAACGCTCCATTTTAGAGTGAGTACTTTACCCGGGTATAAGGAATATTTCTACGGATTATTGCCCTCTCGGATGCTTCATCGGTCCATCTATGTTGAGCTCACGGGCTATTGCATGCTCGAGAATTAGATGTGAGAATTCGGAACTCCCAGTGTGATGGCGAGCTCCGAGGAGATTATTCGACGTCTTCTATCGAATATATTGCGGCAGATCTCTTCTAGTTTGGCACCATGCAATCCTGAAGAGAGCCTAGCGATTCCGAGAAGCGAATATTTCGATCGCAAGCGAGAAAGCAGGCTTGCTCGAAGAACCGAGCTGAATACCCGCTTGCGACCAAGCAGAAAAACTAGAACTCTCGACCGCGGATAGAGTTCTCAGGCTGGGATTTGTTCGGAACTCTGGCACGAGTGCTGTTGGGTGCGATTCGAGATTTGCGAACAGATTTTCTCCTGGCCGGCCAGTCAAGGAAACGGGCTCAATCGAGACCGCGCGGGTTCCATCCGCATGTTACTCGATAGAGTATCGAACGAATCGGGAAAGCAGTATACTCAATGAAATACCACGTCCCTTGCCTCATTTCTTCGCCGTCTTTCCAGGTGGAGGTGTCCATCTGAAGCAAATTCTCATATCACGAGCGAAGATGATGCTCGATTACGATGACGGCGGCTTCTACGAGGAGGACAAAATGTAAGATATGTAGTGGATTATTATTGTTCATTATTCCAGATCGCGAACCGATCGCGAATGCTTACTTATGTGTTTTTGTGCTTCGTCCCCGATGATCTTCGAAGACTGAGCTTGCTCAGGGGCATTCTTTCGGACAATCAATAAGGTGGGATCCGCTCATAGAACCACGTTGAATCTCGGTCGTTGGGGTCTGGTCGGCCACCCGGTCCCGCAAACCGAGCTGAGCAGCGCGGGCTGCAATGATTTGGGGATTGATCCCTACGTAGATGATCACGTGGTTCCATGAGAGGCCCACTGAAATGTGATTGAGCCAATATATTCCTCGCTCATCTCTGCTCATGATTGAGTTCTTCGGTCTATGATTCTCTGGAGCTCGGAGCGAACTTCTATACAGAGCCTCAAATTTCTCGATCCTTTCGGTTGGCTTTCATTGAGTTGACTTTTCAGTTCTTTGATTGGTTGATCATGGTTCCGCCAAATTGCCGTTACCAGCAACTACCCGTGCGCGAGGAGACTTCTCCGCAAGCTCTTATAATGCAAGATAAATTGTATGATTCGACCTGAGTCGCTCAGTCTTTTACACATCATGATTTCGACCTTTGTTCCACGAGCGCGTGTATTCATTCAGTTCTGAGGAATCCGGACCCCAGCGGGATCTGATGAACTAACTGACTGGATTCTTCCCGATCAGGGGTATGACGGTGACATCTGGCTCCGTCACCTTGAGAAAAGACGACAATAATCTCATCGGGATTTCCATCGGTGGTGGAGCTCCCCTCTGTCAGTGCCTATACGTGGTTCAGGTTTTCGACAATACGCCCGCTGCGAAAGACGGCACACTCCAGAGCGGCGATGAGATCGTTGCTGTATCCGGCAAAACTACGAAGGGCAAAACGAAGGTTAGCTGAGCTGCTCATCTGTTCGCCGAAAACAAGCTTCCCTCGCGGATAGCGCTTCCATGCTCTCTCCCGGTTAAGGAAGTGAAACCATGCTCGGTTATAGAATGCTTTCCATTCTGTTAATCCAGGTCGAGGTTGCCAAGATGATTCAATCCGTGAAGTCCGAAGTCACCATCAACTACAATAAATTACACGCGGACCCGAAGCAGGGGAAAACGCTCGACATTGTTCTGAAGAAGGTCAAACATAGAATCGTGGACTCGATGAACTCGTCGACCGCGGACGCCCTCGGACTGAGCCGCGCCATACTCTGCAATGGTAAAGGATCTAGCCAGCGTCACAAATCGCATTCATTGTTTCGTCGACCACAGCTGACTGCAGGCTCCATTTCTGCTTACAGACAGTCTCGTAAAGAAAATGGACGAGCTTTTCCGTAACGAATGCATATATCGAGGTCTGATGGAATATACGCATCGCACTCTGAAGGCATTTTTCGAGTTGTGTCATATATACAAACAGTTCGGGGACGTGTTCGCGGAAATAGGCGTCAGGGAACCGCAACCGAGAGCTTCGGAAGCCTTCACCGAGTTCGGGGAGGCGCATCGTTCCATCGAGAAGCACGGAATCAAATTGTTGAAAACAGTGAGACCCATGTTGTCCGACCTGAATACGTACCTCAACAAAGCGGTCCCTGATACGAAACTCACCGTGAAAAAATACGCCGACGCCAAATTTGAATATCTTTCATACTGTTTAAAAGTCAAGGAAATGGACGACGAAGAATACGCCTACCAGGTGAGTCTTGTTGGAGAAAAACGTAGTACTCCACGCAGTACTCGAGGCCAACGCATTCTGTCGCCTCGTCCGTCTTTTAATATTTCGCGTCTGATTCGCAGGCCCTCCAAGAGCCTCTATATCGAGTTGAAACAGGAAACTACGAGTATCGTCTGATACTACGGTGTCGGCAGGAAGCCAGAATCCGCTTTGCCAAGCTTCGTGCCGACGTGCTCGTCAAGCTCGAACTGCTCGACCAGAAACACGTCCAGGACATTGTGTTCCAATTGCAGCGACTGGTCACAGCTCTGTCGCAGTATCATCAGGATTGTCGTGAAGCACTGAAGGAAACCGCGATTTTCCCCATAGAGGTTGATCTGTGTAAGAGCACATTCCAGTACAAAGACCCTTCACAGCCCAGTCCGTATCAGGTGAGAAGAGGCTATCGGCCAGGAAACACGATGCCGAATATCCCGGAGCCTCATTTTCCGGGATCCCGCGTTTCTATGACTATGCTCGTCATGGTTGGGCGAGAGGTGTCTTACTCAGAATATCCGGAAGCTGAGAAGAGCTTTCCATTACAGGATGGCGAGGAGGGCGACTTCCGTACAAACGCTAACCAGGGGGACGAGGATGATGACGAGATGCTGCAAGCGGTCGATCTTCCGCCACCCAATCTGACTCCCGGAGCAGCTCCGAATCCAACCTCGAATCTCGACATTCTTTGCGAGCTGGATAATCCTCCCACACAGACCAATGGCGATTCACAGGATTCATCGTCGAAATTACTGGATTTATTGGATTGAAAGAATGGCTACAAAGGATACGTGCGATTTCGCGTGCTGTGATGACAAGAATATATCTGACTGAGGAAATGCTTATTACCACTCATTAAAATGGCGGAGTTCTACTCATGAAGAAAGGCTGCGCATTATTTTACCCGCATAGTTCAGAGTTTTCTCCCCCGAAGCGACACCTCGTACGCGGAGCGATGAGTCGGATCCTCGAGTAGGACTCCCATGTTGGATGGAACGTCAGCTTTTCGCTTTCGAAGACGCAATCTCCGACGGGCGATGAGGATTCCCGAAGGCCAAATCACCTCTGATATAGAGACAGATTGCGTGCTAGATTCGGCTCGATCAAGTTCTGTCTCCAGAAGAATTTTGCGTGTACATTCGTTTGACATTGATCAGATCGAGCCGATGACCATCGGGTTCGATAATGCTTGTTTACGTCTCTTCCCCGATCGAGCGCGGTAGCCCTGGGGAGCTTTCACGCCGATGGATGGCACTGCTTAGTGAGCGTGCCCTTGGCAGAGAGGTTCAGGCCAGCGAGGCCGAAACCTCATGCCGGTGCTGTCTAGTTCACCGGATACTACTCGGTTCAGGCGAGGAGTACACCAGCTCGAGTGATGGGATCGTCGCTCAACAGGCGTGTTGGAGCTGTTCCACAAATATTCCGTGAAAGAAGGTAGGGTGAATGCTCTGCTTTCATGAGTTTCAATCGCATCCTTCTCAAATGTACGCCGGAGTAAGCTCCTCAGCGACGGTCGACCGAGCTCCGGTGCCCGACCCCGGTGCCGGAATTTCGTGGGGTCTCTTGCCCCTAGTCCTCTCCACCCGAGAATCGAGATGAATTCGCACCTCACTCAGTCCTACAGCTATGTATCGAGACGCGAGAAGCCAATGGAAAAATCTGGGCTCATGATAAAATGACAATCTGAGTTTTTGAGGGGAATGCGACGCGGGAAGACGAGGCCGCCTCGAGCATATGACCGAGCGCCTCGCGTTAAAGTTGTTCCTCGGAGCTTCTAGAGAGGGCCTGCGGTCCCACAAACCGATGCTCAGGCAGAGTTTTCGGGCTTCACCCTTATTCGCCGAGCTCCATTTAACCGGCATGGCGCGGCATTCTGGGGAGTGACATCGACGAGCGTTGCTATGCTAGCCTAAAAGCGTTTCGGTTGTCTATTGTGTCCTCTTCCGTCGACTATTGTCATTCAACAAATGTTTGAAACCGCTCCGTTCTGACAGTTCGGGAGTGTTTAGCCGATATCGTTTTCGATGCAGGCCATCGAGCCATTTATACGAGCCATTTGGCGACTGCATTATGATCATATTGAAACTTTGATCAGATTGATGCATTGATAACTATATCCGAACTCGATGAACATAGGTACTCTAATTTCCGATTGATAAAGAACCTTTGCTGAGTCGAAGAGGCCGCTAAAGTCCAGGTATCTCCGCTTCCGTGGGATAGGAAGAGAGGTTCCTGGGACGATATGAAGTCCTCCCTCACATACGCAGTAAGGAGCGCTGCTTTCACCCGGGACATCGTGAGATCCGTGACTCTCGATATTGGAACGGAGCATCAATCTTTGTGAATACGAAATTTATCCGTTTGATTGATTCCGTGTCTCGAGAGATCCAATAGCCAGGTCGATTAGCTAGCGGAATAAAATTGTCTTACCATGACGTGTCGCGAGCTTTGACAGTCGTGATTTTCTATCGGACACAGAACGATTTCGGAACATGCTCGGACCGAATCTTCCATTGTTGCTTGGGGCCTAATTTTCAGACGATTCCCTTGAGCAAGAGCTTCAGGTCGATCAAGCCCGCTGATTCAATGAAGCTGGTCTTACTCAAGGTGTTTTGAGACCACGGGCGGATTGGGAGAGCTCTTCCGAGGCGTTGCCTGACAAAGACCTGAGCGAATCTGTCGCAGGCTGGAATTGGAGCCATTCAGACCCCTTCCGAAACTCGCTTCGTCGAAAATCTATATCAGGAGGCGGAAATAGCTGTCCGAATGGTCTCCGCCTGCTCGGAAGCTCAGGTCTTGTGATTCTCATCGTTGTGGATGATTGGCGAATGAGACGCTTTTTAATTATCGTCAACGTCCGCGGAAGAGTCTGCTTGTCGTTGAGATGAACGTCATGTTATGGATTGTGGATGATGAGCTTCTGCATCAGATCTACTGAATCATTCAAGCGGATGATGAGACGTAGGTAGGACGTCATCAGGCTCACACGGGCACTCTACTCGAGCGAAACCATCCTCAGAGGGCGGGAAACAGAAACCTCCTCGCTGTATTTGACGAAGCGACAGGGAACAGAAGAAGAGTCGGAAGCCCGTGGTTCACTGAATGTTTATTGAATTTCCCGATCAACAGCAGAGGATGCAGTTGTTCTTGTCGGACTGTTCCAGGAATTTCAGGGGCTTCTCTTCGCTGACGGTCATATGGCAGGTCTTACCATCGACGGTGAGGGTAGCATGGTAGAGATTGTAACGAGTCGATGTATTCTCGGAGAGCTTCACCATCTCAACCTTATCGGTTTTACCCAATTCCTTCGCCTTAGCGACGATTTCCGGCGTCACGGCTCTAGTCTTGAAGTCAACATTGTCGTTGGGCGCACCAAAAGCCTCAATGGCGACACATTGAGCCACGCTGCAGGCCACGAGAGCGACAAGGATGATGACTTTCATTATGACTGTCGAGGGGATCGAAATTGTATCAAATGTATACAGTACGGAAGCCTGACCGAGGGAAGGCTCTGATTCCGGGACTATTCGGCGGATTCATCTCCGACCTCTCGAGAATCGCGCATTGTATCTGTCACACCTCAAGCCATCCCTGTGGAATGGACGAAAGAAAAGAATGGGCTCACTGACTCACCGGTCGACGTAGGTTCCAAAGCGAGGATAACCAATCCACGCTACGATGTTCTCAGATTTATTTGAACTGACTGGCCCTTCTACAAGAGAGGAGGACAACATGAGCGAGTGGAGCCCGTCGCGCGACGGATCGAAAAACAAGTTCAACAAAGAGGTCTTACTCACTCTGTCGAACGAAACACGTACTATCGTAAGCTCAATAGATTTCTGCCCGAAAATTTGAAGGATTTCGGCCTTGGCGTCTAAAGCCGATGACTTCAGAGTACTTTCGCATTCACTCGTTACGCTCACGGTTGTACCCCTGCTGTTCGGTTGAAAATTCTGTGGAAGATGTATGCTCGTCGTGAGAGATCAGCAAGTGTTTGACTAGTAGCTCGGTTGCGGCTGCATGGAGCGTCGCTGGCGACCGACCAATGTTTTCGTTCCTCTGGCATTCACTGATAAATGTGTTTTCGTGATTTTCCCCGATAGGGTGAGGCTTCGAAGCCAAAATTTTTCCACGTTTAGCTTCCACTCCGATCCGCTTCTACAGAATGATTGGGCTGCGCAGTATATTTCGCCTGCTCTGTTCAATGGGGAGTTTTTCGAGTTGTGCCGCTACGATCCCCCAGTTAGAGTTCTTTGGTTAGAGCCTCCATTCCGCTGGCGACCAGCGAAATGGCGAGAATCGGCATCGACGGCTGGTGGCCGTTTCTTGTCCGATTCTCCTCCCCAACTCCCAAATGAATAAACTCCTTCGATGAATGAGAACTGACCGCTCTCGATGGCGATACCGATATCGGCAGGAAAGCTTCGAGCAGACGCTACAAGAGTTTGCCAGGAGAAGACTTCTGAAGCCAGCTTTGGCGAAGTCTCTCGTGATTCCGAAAGCGGGTACGATTTAATGCATGATCTTCATGACGGCGAGGTGATAGAATCGAGTAATAGCATGATAAATTCTCGATCGCAATCCGGACTGTTCCGATGAGTGCGACGGGGATTTTCGGTCAGAGTCAGCCTTCCATAGGCAGACTCGTTCAATGGAGCGAGCGTCTGTACGTGACGCTATGAATCGACGGCCTGCACGCGTCGCGGAATCCATGATCGACCTTATGATGGAAGAGCTGCTTGGCGACGGGTGGTCCCCAAGTCTTGATTTGAGGTCACATCCCTTGAATCAATATTCCTCGAATCGAAACGGTTCTTGTGACGAGGATTATTGAGTTCTGTGCTTAGAGGTAGGGAAGTAACGACGTGGCATCAACTGTCTGGACTACTGAATAACTTCTATAACGAAGTTATCAGCCTTTTTATTGGAACCGGAATCGATAGAGGGCGAGGAGGACCTAACATTCCTCCTTTTCTCCCGAGGGAGTGAGTCCTGCAAGTCGCCTGTAATCGACCGGGGGAAGTAGACGGGGAGACCTTCTTAAAACCGAGTCTGGGCTAGAGTCCGCGAAAATAGGACCCAGAAGTTCCTCACTGTCCCCGCTCAGAGGTTCCGGTGCGCCCTGAGCCCTTTTCCAGACCTGGTTCCTGTGACGTACGTGCTCTTTCCCGTCCACCGAAACCAAAACCAGGGCGTCGCCCCTGAAACCGCTGATTTCACCTCGGACCCGGGAGCCATTGGCCAGCTCTATCGTGATTTTCTCTCCCAATGATAGAGAACGTGGAAGCGCGCCATGCT